TAATCTGAAAGAGCTTTTCCTGAATCCTTGTACCTGACCTCTGACCTGTACCCGACCTCTGACATGACCTTTAACCTGACCTCTGACATGACCTGAACCTGACCTCTGACCTGTACCTGACACCTGACCTGACTTGTACTTGACACCTGACCTGACTTGTACCTGACACCTGACCTGTACCCGACCTCTGACCTGACTTGTACCCGAGCTTTGACCCAACCTCTGACCTGACTTGTACCCGACCTCTGACCTGACCTCCGACATGACTTGTACCCAACCTTTGACATGACCTTTGACCTGACTTGAACCTGACGTCTGACCTGACTTGTACCTCACCTCTGACCTGACTTGAACCTGACCTCTGACCTGACTTGTACCTGACCTCTGACCTGACTTGTACTTGACTTGTACCCGACCTGACCTGACTTGTACCAGACCTCTGACCCGACCTCTGACTTGACCTCTGACCTGACTTGTACCAGACCTCTGACCTGACTTGTATCCGACCTTTGACCCAACCTCTGACCTGACTTGTACCCGACCTCTGACCTGACTTGAACCTGACGTCTTTCCTAAACCAGCACCAGTTTCATGCCCATAAAGAAAGCGGACGAGGAGCTCGTGTTGACCCTCAGGACCATCCATGGTCCAACAGCGCCTCGTTTGGAAACACAGTTCATTTGAAGGTCGACTCAGAGGTCATTACAATGTTATGTGAATGTTCATGAATGAAACAATGTTTTTGAGTTATCTTTTGTAAGACAATATAATTTGTCTTATTTTCTGTTTATAATTGAAACTGTAAGACAGAAGAATAATTTGAGATTAAATTAGACAAATTAAATTAAGAATAAAAGACTTGATACTTGTAAAACATTGACTTGGTCCCATCTCTGCTTCAATTCAATTCAGTTCAGTTTATTTATAAAGCGCCAGATCACAACAAAGTTGTCTCAGGGCACTGAACCGGAACATTCACATAATTTAATTTAATTGTTCTGAGCATGACAACTTGAAAATTAAGTCCATTTAGGTTTGTGGCAACATGTAGGTGTAAGAGATGCCACTGTTTGGGGGGGGGGTCGAGACAGTTCTTCTCGTTCTGAGCATCCATGGCATTGTTGACCTCGTGTTGATTCTGCACGACAATGAACCTAAACCTGAAACCTATATTCCAAGATGGCTGCCACCTGCTCTGCATGTGAACCAACGAGTTTTATCATTTGAGGAAACTGCTTTCTGGTTTTCATATCGCTGAAAATGAACGTTTTCTCAAATGACTGGGCTGGCTTAATCTAATCTAATTAATCTAATAATCTACGCCCCCGCTCCCCACGCTTGTTCTGATACATCTCCATGTGTGAGGGGAACACGGTGCACGTTTTGTTTGCACGTCGGTTCATACACGAGGCCCCAGGTTGTTTCAGGAAGAGGTTTCGTTTGTGATCAGGTCCATGAGCAGAGACTGAACGTGCAGCACCACCTGCTACAAAGCTTCAGAAGGAGCTGCCGCCCCGAGCCAACGTCTCTGGTGACGAGACGTGCACGAGCCGGCCCCCCCTCAGTGTCACGACGTGCTCCGACACGTAGCTCTGTACCTTGGCAGCGTAGCTCCACATGTCGATGCGATCCTGAAGTCTCTTCTTGCACTCCGGCTGCAGACGAACACGTTTGTCCTGCAGCGCCTCCATCAGACACGACATTTCTGAGGAAGAGGAGCACAGACGCACACGAGCTGGTTCATGTGAGAAGATCTGAATCTGCTTCAACTTACCGGTTCAACCGAGACAAATGGAGCTGCAGGAACCTTCCGACTATAAGGCGCTATTTTTTTCACAGGCTCTGAACCGCGCCGCTAATTTATGTTTTTTTTTTTGAGACAGTAGGAGGGGGAACCCCTTTAATTTCATTGGTCAGATGTTTTTACCTTTGTTTAAACAGGAAGTCTCATCAACACACGTCTCTCTTGGGGGGTGGGTCCTCGGGACTTAATGAGACTACCTCATTGGTTCATTGTGGTTGACGGTCACATGACCTCAGGGAGGGATTATGGGTAAAATTTATGTTCATCGTTAATCGTTGTTCTTTTAGTGATTGGTCTGTTCTTGTTAGCCGGTTTGTGTTGGGTCATTCAGCAGAGTAACCATGAGTGATGGAGGTGGTTGTCATGACGACCTGAGGTGTTGAACAGGAAGAGAACGTCTATAAACCTCCACCTGGTGGTTGATTCTTGATCTACAACAAACTGCACATCTCTCAGTGGCTGTGCTGCCTCTCAAGTTACAACGTGCAGCTGATGTGTGTACAAAGTTTTATTTCATTGTGCGCAGCTTAAATTTGGGTGCACGCTATAGACCGGCAATTACGGTAAATAAATTTAAACCAACAAAACTTCAGCTTTCTCTCCACTTAAGAGTCGACATAAACAGTTTCTGGCTGTCCGAGACAACCCGTTGTCGTCTCGAACATCCAGACATGGCCTGGAGGTCGTCCGGTGAACCAGCGCGTGAAACGGGCGTTTCCTAAAGTTCTCCCTCGCTGCGACGGCTTTCTGTCATCTGTCAAAATGAAAGGCCGAAATAATGATGCGTTTTGTTGCGGTCTTCTGAAAACCATCCAATCTAATAAAGTTCCAGGGATTAAAGTGAAGCTGCTTTCAACCAGTCAAGAGAACCAGAACCAGTTTGACCCAGTCAGAGCACCAGTCAGGCTTTAAGAGACGGGCTGCGTCTCTTCTCTAACCTGCCTTTAGTTCTTGCAGTGAAACTGTCTTAACGCTACAAGAGGTGTCTCTGCTGAACTTCAAGTTTCCCTCACACTCAAAGTTCTCTCTGAGGGTCACAACAGGAATTATTATTATAAAGTGAACGTCAACGTAAGAACATCTGAGCGCGTGGACTCACGGCGTCCTCGGCCGGGTGGGATGGCAGCGCAGTGATGCTTGATGTCCAGAGCGCAGGCTGTGTGCAGAACAGGGTCCACAAAGATGTCCGCTTTGCTCTCCTTTAGCATGTTCAACACCTCCTGCAGGAGGAAGAGCAGACAGAACATCAGAACATCAGATGTGAAGACGACCATCTTGTGTTTGTTCCTGTCTGGAAATAAAGCCCAGCTGATCAAACGCAGACGTGTGGTCATACAGACCTTTTTACAGGCTTCTTGTTTGATCTTCAGCAGGTTGATCTTCAGACACTCCTCCACCTGTCCCGTCTGCTCCTGAGCTGCAGCCTCCTCCGGACAGAGACGGGAGATCTGAACACAAACAAGCTTTGACTTCTACGGTGTCTCTTTTAGGACAATATACTGATCTCCATCCCCAACAAGCAGAACACCGACGTCCCCCGTCGCTCAGAGAGTCGAATAATAAACGTCTGTAGTTTTACATCTGCATTAATGCATCATAAATACTGGTACATATATAAATACTGGTACATATATAAATACTGGTACATGTATAAATACTGGTACATATATAAATACCGGTACATATAAAAATACTAGTACATACATAAATACTGGTACATAAATACTTACAAATGTGTGTGTGTGATTCATACATGCAACACAAAACAAGTTAAAACCTTTGAAAAGTGTTGCTAGAACATTCATAAAAACTAATAAAAATGTTCTAAAATACATAAAAACTTTAAAAAACATCTGAGCAGACGATGGCTTGTTATGAGGAGCTACATTTAAATATGAACATATTAAGGGCGGCCACAGTGCAGCTTGAATAATGGAGACAGTGGATGAAGGGGGTCATTGTAAACTAGAGCCTGACCAACGCCTCGTTTGTCGCTTTCCTTCCCTCCATTGATCACGGTGACATCATTTACATGAACGCTCCTACAAGAACCCTGCAGATGTTGGATGCTGCAGATGTTGGATGCTGCAGATTTTGGATGCTGTCTATCATGGTGCACTAAGATTCATAACTGGCTGTAACTACCGTACCCACCACTGCACCCAGTATTCACTGGTTAACTGGTCACCGTTAACTCCACACAGACTCTCCCACTGGTACATCTTCATCTTTAAATCACTTCCTGGTCTGCTGCCTTCATACATCTCCTCCTACATGTCTCTGTGTGAGTGCAGCTACAGCGTGCGCTCTCAGGACATTATTACCTGCAGTGTTCCCTCAGTGAGGACTGAACTAGACAAAAGGGCCTTCTCCTCCTCCGCTCCTGTTTCCTGGAATATCTTACAAAAAGATTTGAAGCTCTCGACCTTTGACCTCTCTAAGTAGCTTCAAACATCTGATAAGTTCCTGGAAGAACCAACGCAGACACGTTCCTGTTTTTAATTTATACATCACCTTATAATCAGCTGTTTGTTTTTTCATTTTTAATGCTATTTTTTTTATTTGTTCTTCTCTATTTGTACACATCGTTATGATTGTCTGCTGTTGTCACCACTCTGTTAACATCACGTCTCTATGGTCAATGAGTCCTCGAGGCTCAATGAGACTAACCTGTAGAAATAAAGCTTGAATGAATGAAAAAGTCCTAGAGGCCATGCCCCATAAAATCCAAAGCTCAAGACAAACCAGTAATTTCTCAAACATACAGCCTGACATATTCGCCAGGTATAAACTTTATTGCAGTATTTCTTTTATTGTTATTTTTTTAAAGACGCATCCAAAACTAAACCAGAAAACAAGCCAGACATGAGTATATTGTTGTGTATATTGCCTTATACTTGGATGCAGCCACACCATAATAGAAGCTGGTACCTCACTTATTGTTTAAGTTCCCATAATCACAACATTCAGACGTATAAACGGGCAGCATTCCAGTCTCTCCCTCTTGGCTCTGTGTGGGGGACAGTCAGCCAGTCAGGTGACTGGTTAATCTGTTACGTGTGAATGTGTTTGTCGCCGCCTGCTGGCCACACGCCACATTACAACCTGTTGACAGAGTGACTGGTGTCGTCACTCATCTGTGACGTAAGAGCATCGTTCCACCTCCCTGATGAGACGTACACAGCCCCGCTACATGAGGCAGCAAACTGAACACGTGTCGTTGGGTTTAGTTTGGAACGGATGGTGAAACAAAACCTGAACAACTGTCACGAACCTCCTGTGTGCAGTGCATCTGCAGCTGAGGGTCCAGTCTGTAGTCCAGCGCAGACTCCTGCAAGATGACCCGGATCTGATCCTCACAGTCTGGAGACAAGCGCTGCAACAAACACACAAACCATAAGATCGAATCTTTAAGGCCTAAATGAATTCTAGCTTCTCTTCAGGTGAACGTTCTTTCAGACTTGATCACATTAGATCAACTAGAACAGATCGGGTCCTGCAGATTGAAGAGGTGAACAGGTGTGTCAAACATCCAGACAGGACTCTGACCTGGTCTGCGTATCTGAGCTTGAGGCAGGAGATGACCTGACCCTCCAGCTCGATATCAGCTGCTGCCGCCTTGTTCAGGACGGACTGGCAGAACTTTGGGATGTCAGCTTTGCAGGCCTTCTTCAGCACTGGGTTCAGCCTGTAGTCTGGACACAGACAAACTTTAACGTGTAAAGTCTGGTGTGGGCTGAGCTCAGAACCAACACTAGACTCCTGAGCGTACCTGTGTTCTGGGTCATCTGTCTCTTGGTGATCATCTGTTTGCATTTTGGATCCATCAGCTCGCCGTTCTTGTTCTGTTTCAGACACTGAAGGACGTTCTTCCCGTCTGACTCTGTACAAAACCGCTAAACACATAAAACAGGTGACAAGTTACAGATTACATTTAGATTAAAATCATATATTATGTTGACGACAAACTGTTGCACAGGAATCCATAGACAATGTAGCATGAAGATGTGTCCCCTGACTATGACCTCTGACCTTTGGTACCAGGCTCACCATGAACCGTTTTCTTTAAAGTTACTCTTGACTTGAATATATATAAAAATCCTGATCATCCTCTTCATCAACAAAGTCCTCTCTGTCTGACTCGGACTGTTTCCCTCCTTCACGATCCTCTCCTCTGTCAGAGGTTCTGACTCCGTCTGGGTCCGTCCTCCTCCGGGTCAGCGGCTCCGTCCTCCTCTGGTTCAAAAATCGTCTCATTGTTTTCCCCCAGAAGTTAAATCGCATCAATCTGGACAGATTCTTATTAGCAGAAACGTTCCGTCTTTCATCTGAAAGACTTCGTCAGTCAGAGGCATGCCACTAAAAGTGTGTCGTATAAATAGCACCTTCCCCACGTGTTTCTGCTGTGGTTCCCAGAAATGACTCGAACAGACTCAACACGATCAAACACTAAAACTATACATTTATATCTGCCCCTCCTAAAATAAATAAGTGCTTTAAGACGTATTGCAGTGTTTATGGCTTCACCCTGATCATGTTCTTGCAGACTCTGATGAGCTGATAATCCAGCTCAGGATCAACCATCTCCACCTCCTGCAGCTTGAAGATTCTTTGATGGCAGCGCTGAGTCAGCTTCCGCTTGTTCTCCTTCAGACACTCGATGACCTGTACAAAGACGGAATAAGATTCGTTTGAAATGTAGGAACTAAGAAGCTGCTGCGTCCAGCGGACAGGCACAACGAATACACACGAAGAAGCTACTACCAAAACCAACAACTAATAAAAAACACGTAGAGCAACTAGAACCAAATCAAGCAGAATAAAAACAAATGCACACGGAGCAGATGCAACCGAAACAAGCAGTACGTCGTTTGACTGAATCGACCGAGCCTCGTGGCCCCGGTCACTTTACAGGAGTGATTATGACGTCGTCTTTCCACGGCAGAAATGTTCCTGACGTTCTTTACGATGACGTTTGTCGAGTTCTAATTAAAGAGCAAATGTTTTCACGCCTGGCCTTCAGGCTCCCCCTGAGCTGAAAATGAAAATGTGTCTTACAGTGAAGCGTTCGTGTGGCGCTGCTGACCTGTGCGTTACCGAAGGCCACGTTCTGACACAGCTGGTTGATGTCCTGCTTGCACGAGCCGTAGAGCTCTGGTTCCAGGCGGATGTCCTCCGACTTCACCACACGTTTACAGAACAGACGGAAAAATGTGAAACAGCGTCATGTTTATTTCACACACACGTCCATCGTTAGATTTAGTGCTCGACAGTCCTACTCCATCAACGTGTCAGTGAACGCACCATCTCCACCTCCTCCACTCGCAGCTGTTTACGACATTTGACGGACACTCGCTGCTCCTTGGCGTCCTGCAGGGTGTCGTTTCTCACCGTGGAGCTGAGGCAAATCACCACGTCCACCCTGAAGCACAGGAAGACGCGTTCAGGAGAACGAAAGCTGCAGAAGGTTGGACGAGGAGCTGCTGAACGGAGCGAAGGCTCGCGGCGAGCGGTCGCTCCAGGATCAGCTGAAACAGGCCGACATGAAAACATCTGCATGGAACAGATGTGGGCAACATATGGCCCGCCTTGGACAATGTCCATCCAGTCCTCAATACTCTTAATTGAAAAGAGAAACACTTTGGAATAAGTTGATGAAGCTTAAATTAAACATCTTGGACAAATGCATAAAAAATATATTTTTCATCAAGCATGTGCTACAAGAAGAAGCCTAAAAACGTCTTCCAGATGATCAGTGGTAACGACGATTTATAATTTATTATTTATTTACGATTGCCCCCGTTATGGAAGCATTCAGTGATTTGAACAAAGCTGAAAAACATCCAAACTAAACTAAGTGGCTTTTACTAAAATACTTGTATATTTTCATAGATTACCAATAAAAACTTCTGAAGAAAATGAAGGAATTGATGATTAAATGACAAACCTGCGAGAGACTAATGAAAATGAGTAAAAGATTCTGACGGTGAGGTAACCCAGACCAAAAATACCACGGCTTCACAGAATTAAATAAAAAAATTATTGTTTTACTTTACATAAAGGCAAACACTACAACTGCCTTAATATTGTCACATACTTCCTGATGGCTGTGATAGAAATATAATAGTACTAAATGTAGTTATAACTAGAGCTTGACCGATATATCGTTTAGCCGATATTTTAGGACGATAAACGTTTTGGGGACATATCAGTATCTGTGATAAATGTCCCATTATGTGCCAATATAAACACTTCTAACTTTCACCACTAAAATGAGGAAAACAGCTGTAAATGTACAATATCTCCAGCAGAGGGCGCATGAAGAATACTTTCAAATCATGGCTGTTCACTTAAGTTTCACTTTCATCACAGCCGAAGCAGGGAGCAACACTGTGTAGTGTATTTTACCGAACAGACCATGGTAAATTTATTTTAACTGAGCTGTAAAATAAATCAACAAGACTAAATTATCTTTAATCCTCCAACCTGCTTGTCATTAGCTACGTGCTTCTACGCACTGCAGAGTGTGGGTCTTACTTCTTCTTGATGTTGGGACACAGTTTGAGAACGTCCTCCTTGCAGGCAGTCTTAAACTTGTAGGAGAAGCGGAAATCTTTGATCTGAATCTGTGGACAAGCAGAAGGAGAACCACCACTGATTATCCATCAACTTGATGGGCAGTAAGTTGCAGACTCTGGTTCTGATCCAAACGTTCTGCAGGATTTTAGACATTTTATAAAAACAGGAGGGAAAACGTCTGCCCAGTGACATCAGAGCAGGGTTTAAATGAGAAAGAGATGGTTTAGGAAGAAGAAGGGCTCAGTTTGGTGCTTTAAACACTCCACCAGCATCGCTGTCCCTACACGTCCGCATCACAGAACCGACCCAACTGGACCTGCTGTTTTAAAATCTGTAGCAATGAAACGTTTCGAGACACTAGTGTCACTGCATCTGAAAATCAGTAGATGATGCGGTCATCATGGGACCGCACCACATCCTGCAGCACCTTGACCAACCTAAAACTTATGCACAGATCCTCTGAGGACTTCTATATAAATCTCCTGCAAGGTGTCTACCACCAAGGAGGTCCTGTCTGTTTGCAACTCACTGAGCAGTCTTTAGACAAACTATAAGAAGCGGAGCGCCCCCTGCTGACTGGCTGCAGCTTCATCTGATTAAAAGACAAATTCACTTGCAGCTTGTTCGGTCACGCAGCTGATTCATGTTGGTTCCAAGTAGAGACTTCAAGAAACTTGTTCCACTGAGATCAACAGCCTGGTCCTCGAGGGCCACTGTCCTGCATGTGTGTCCAGTCCTGGTCCTCCACAGTCCTGCAGGTTTTACCTGTTCCCCTGCTCCGACACACCTGAATCAATGGCTGAACAACGTCTTCATGTTCTGCTGAAGCCCATTGATTCAAAGCAGGTGTGCCGGAGCAGAGAAACAGATAACATGCAGGACAGTGGTCCTCGAGGACCAGGACTGGACGCACGTGCAGGACAGTGGTCCTCGAGGACCAGGACTGGACGTACCTGTGTCCAGGAAAGTGTGTTTCTCAGGTTTATACTTTATATTGCACTATTGTTTACTCTGGCCTTGCACATCCATTATCTACCTCTCATCATGTTATTGTCTTCAGTCAGCGTCCCTTTGTCTCCTGTTAGTCACTATTGAGCACGTTGCATCAGAGGTCCTGCTGCTGTTCACTTTTATATTTTTT